AACTTTATCACCAATATTAATGAATTATTAACTTAAAATAAGATCCTTTACGTTGCTGAAGAGTTGATTCCTAGTGTGCTACGATATTTACACTTTAAACTGGATCAAAACTTCTTGGTAAGATTTTGTGTTTTTGCTGCAGTGTAAGATAATTTCCTATTCCACTGACTTGCAAAAGACCTTCAGGCATGTTTGGTCATTGCTAAACTAATCACTGGATCTCTGATTTGCATGTTTAATCCAGGAAACAACCCCCTTTTCTTGATGTGAATAATTTCCAACAAGACCAGCAGGTTCAGGTCGTTTTGAATCAAACACAAAGGAAAGTTGGTGAATGCTGACCAAAACCCCCGAGGCTCCGATGAAACAGTATCTCATCACATACCTGGACGGCTGCAGGAAAAGAGAAGAAAGGAGGTTCTGTGAGCGTGTCTTGTCGTGCTCAGTTGGTTCTGGCCAAACTCTGCTCACGTGACTGATACTGGGGAATGTGAAGGGCAGGGAGGCGGCCTGGACCCTGAAGGTAGAGGACAAAAACTCAGCCCCCGCCTGAGACTAACACAGACTCACTGTGTCCACTCAGTGGGAACAGAAACATCCTTCTGGGAGAGTTAAGGTTTTAACTGTTTGTTTTCAGAGGGTAGAGTGGTCAGAGTAGAACTACTTTAACATATTTTTACTCAAGAAAAAGTAAAAAGTGGCCTTCCAAGAAATTACTCAAGTGTAAAACAGTATTCGGTAAAAACGCGACTCAAGAAACTGATCAAAACTTCAATCAATTAATATTTAAAAATTACATCATTAGAAGGACCAAAATATAAAGTTATGAGGATGTTTTTTTATTTGAGGACCAAAATTAAAATAATTAATTAATTAGTATAAGGGCCACACTAAAAAGGGCCACACTAAAAAAATATCATAACTTTATCCTTCTACGACTTTATCGTAAAACTATCAGTTTTGACTTTACTCTTGCAATATGTTATTCTCATAATAGTACTTTTTTATTTTTTTATTGCTATGGCCCTAATACTCCATCACACAAAACAACAAAACCAGGCAAAAGAAAACATTGTCCAAATCCATTCCTTTCAAAATGAAATTTTAACAAAACCTGCAGGTGTGTGTCTGTGTCTGCTGAATTTTTGGTTAAAACATGTNTTTCATTCAATGGGTAGAAAATCCAGAAATTTGAATAAAATAAGAATAGGGATAAGTAATCAAGTACAGCTAATAGTACATTTTCCCAAAAAGTTACTAAAGTAATTGTAGCTATGTAAATGTTACTAGTTACTAACCAACTCTGTTTTCTTGCAGTTCGGACTGCGTTTTTCGTTTGATTTTTAACCAGGAAGCACATTGGCTAAACCGTGGGCGAAACAGTCACTGGGACTGACTACTATATATTACATTGAGGGACAGTAACTTTAACATTACATAAACCTTTCTGAAGCTCACGACTTGAAAACCAGACGGGCCAGGGGGCAGCCGTCCCCCCCGCCTCCCCCATAGATCCGCGCCTGGCTTAGTGAAATAATCGCTGATCATTTGACCGTAACGTCATATAATGAGTTAGTTCGATGCTATGAAGCTTACCGGAAATTGCCTGCGTTGTAAACAACCATCCTCCACTGCAAAGAGAGAAGTAGCGAGCCGAACAAGATGGCTGTTGATGTAGCATAGCCTACACGGACTCATTTGTTCACTTCCTCTGACGCCATTGCTAAAGCTACAGGTAGCGCAGAAAATCGACGTCACTCATAGTCTCTCCTTCCGTTTGCTGATTGGCCTGGTTGAAGTTCCACCGGAGAAATCAAAGTAAATGGGAGATTAAAATCGAGCGGAAGCCAGATTACGGACATATAAAAGGTGTATATTTTTATGTGATATATTTTAAAACCTCAAAACGAAAATAAAATTATTGTTAATCCATCAATTGTCCAATTACACTTTCCTAGCGCCTAACTAACGTGCAGGTCACCATTACTGGGGAAGATTGGTGATCTGATCTGGACAGACGTTATGAAAATCCATTTGCTGGTCCACCTGCCAATCAAAATGAACAACAACCAATAAAGGATTCAGTTTGTAAATGTTTGTAAAAGAAACAACAAAAAACATTTGACATTTTCTCTTTAACTCTCATCAGGAAAATTTGCAGCGCTCGGCAGGAAGCTCCACTCGTCTGTTTACGCTACAAGTATTCTTCAGAAACTTAAATTAAATGATAAATTGTGAGCATTTATTCATATAATGTATGGGAATGTTATGTGTATAACATTTAGGTGTTGGATCGGGTCTTTGTCTCAGTTATTTCAGGTCCAATCTTTCAGTGATTAACTCATTTGGACGCAGCGGACTCTACTGCCCTCTAGTGGAAAGACAGCAAATACAGACGTACTAATGTGAAAGCCTTAAAACCTCTAAATGTGCATCATAAATAATCTGCATCACCACTTTTCATTTAAACTAAACGATTTTCTGAGATATTCCCAACAATCATTCATAAACCTAAATTTTAACCATATTTGCAGATTTTGTTCTTATCTGTGAATGTTATGATGCATCATTTCAAACTATCCACATGCAGAAAGTGCAGTTCACTGATTTGTGGTGACAGTTTAACGCAGACCAGAAGCTTTAGACTTTTTGTAAATTTATTTTTAATGATCTGTACATTTTCATGAATTTATTTAAAAAATAAATTAATAAGCAAAGAAAAGTCAAACAAGAGCTGGAGTAGGAAGCAAAGACCGTAACAAAAACATTCAGTATTGCCCCGTTATTCATTATTCACAGCAGAAGGAAGAAATCACCTTATTTTGATCATGTATAAAGTTCTGATTATGGAAAACAACAAAATTAGCCTCTTTAGTTAATTGTTTGGCACAGACACAAACAGAATATCCAGTCATTTCATTTCTCGTCTGTATTCAACGCCACCCCTGCATCGTCGCTCAGTGGAGTGTAAAAGTACGCAGCGTCGTCGTCTCCGTAGATGATGGCGACAGTCTCACCGGCGTCCGACACAGATGCACTCGTCTGCAAATACGCCTGGTGGAGAACCAGCGGAGAAAAACATAAGAATGATAACAGCTACTCTACTGCCGGAGCATCAAGCTCATTTTTATTTTGATCTAAATTAAGATTATGAATGCTGGTTGTGCCAGAATGTATCGATAAAACCCATTAATCTGTTAAAATATTAATAAATATCTGGGTCTGCATTCAATAAGTGCTTCTTAAAGTTTAATAATATTGAACAACATTTTGTGATTGTTTTTCTGATTTATATCTGTGCTTGTGTATGAAGCTAAGTGTGACTTTACAGACTATAAATTGACAACTAAGGCTGAGCAACAGTCATAAAAGTAAGAAATGCTGCCCCCTGAAGGTGGGACCAAGCATTACATAAATGGGGGAAAATTAAACAAAATTCACATTTTCCAGGTTTTTGTACTTCCATTTAAGTCTCTACTGCTTTAAAAAAAACAGCCTTAGAAGTCCTTTAAGTAAAAAGGACTTTTTAACACTTTTTTTGGCAAGAAGTTGATGTTCTTTGGTATCTGGAAAATGAGCCTTTCTAAAAACCTTCTGGAATGTAACCTCTCCAATCAGCAGGCACTACCCGTTGCCTAGCAACCCTTCCAAAGCCCAGATCGTTACTTAGCAACCCAAGCACAGTTCCAGCACGTTTGGACAAAACTTACAAAGTATTTTTGGTCTAGTTTCTAGTTTCTAGTGCAAATATTTTAATACACTTGAAATAAGACAAAAGTAACTTTTCACCAAGATAAAGGGTCATTTTTCAGCTCAATAATTTCTTACTACTGATGAAAATATTATAGTTTCACTAGCGGATTATGTCAGTTGTTACTTGTGAAAAATGTTTTGTTTAAACTGGAATAATCTGCAAGTGAAACTAGCACTTCTTAGCTATACTAAAGGATTATTGACTTAAAACAAGCTCCAACATCTTGCTAAAAAGTTACTTTAATTGATTTTTTGTCTTTTTAAAGTGTACTTCAATATTTACAATGGAAACTAAACAAAAAATACTCATTAAGATTGTGTGTTTTTGCAGTATATACACTGTATAATGGCTGCTGGAGAAGACAAGTGTTTTGTTGTTGACTTAGCATCTAGAAACCACTTGCTGCAATACTCTTGTTGACTGAATAATGTTGCATCTGTTGGCATAAAAGTGTAAACGTTGAGTTGGGGGGGCGTGGCCAGCAGCAGCTTACTTGGACTTAAAGGGACAAGACGCCCTAAAACAGCTCTAAATAGGCAGAACTGACTAAAATCTCAATATCTAAAAATGAGTTTGAGCAAAATATGTAATGAAAATGTTTTGCATAGGCCATAGACCCAACCTAACCTGTTCAAGGAAGCATAACAGGTGAAAAACTGGAGGGACTAACTGATGTAACTTGGCTCATGTAGTCTAGAGGACCACATAAAATAGCTATGGTGGGCCAGATTCGGCCCCTGAGCCTTGAGTTTGAGTGAGTGAGGTGTTTGGATAAATACCCTCTCCAGCAGCTGCAGTCGCTCCTCGTTGAGCATGTTGCTCTGCCTCAGCTGGCTCACGGTGTTCTCCAGCCCCAGCAGCTTCTCCAGGTGCCGGCGGTGCCGCTGCTGCAGCACCTTCACCTTCTTCTGCAGCTCGGCCACGATCGCCTCCAGCTGCTCCTTACTCAAGCTGTTCTTGTGGTAGCTGCTCGCGTCACAAAGACACACAAGACGTGAAAACTGCGATTACACATGAGGAAAAGATCTGAGCAACCTGCTGTTTTTATGCTTCCAAGGAACTACGTAATAATGTCGACTTAAAAAAAACAGACGGTGTTTTGTTTCAAAGCTGTCCAAAGAAGCATAATGTCACCTTTAAAACGCCTGACCTGCCGATTCCTGGTTTGACCGAATCCGATTTTTCGACAGTGGCTGATTTTCAGACGTTTGCAGATTCAGAAAATATTGGCGGATAAGATCAATTTCTCATGCAAGTATTGGCTGATTGCCTAAAATTAAGGAATTTAATTTACCCATGAACCTCTAGCATGAATGAACACAAATTAGCTACCAGTTAAAAATGGTCAAAGCCATGATGGATGTGGGTTCTAATAGTTTGGAGTTTTTCTTTATGTTTTAGTTTTATTTCATTGACCTTTAGCCTAATTCTTTTAGTTTTTAGTGTTTTGCTAGTTTTAATTAGTTAAATGTTTATTAGCTCTATAAAAACTAAAGTGAAAGTTTTTATGTAAAATTTTGCCAAAAACTTTTTGCTAATTTTTTTTTAGCAACAAATGTACTAAAACTTTGTTTGCTAATATTAGTTTGTAAAACTAGTGAACAGTTTTATTTGGCCAATTTATTAGTTAAATATGCTATTAATTATATAAACAGAACACTAAAATGTTTTAGTTTGTGTAAAAGCCAAAAACATAAAAAAAAATTTATTAAATTTTTTGCAATTATTTTTTATTATTTAGTTTGATAAAATTAGTTTTGCAAACAATTTTCAGCTGAAAACTAATTAGGAAACAAATTAATTAGTTTTAGTGTGTTTGATACTTTATATTAGTTAAATGTTTAGCTTGTATTATAGCAGTAGTTTAGTTTGTCCACATTTTGGCTCATTTTTAGGTGCAGAATTAAAGTATTGTGATTATGTTTGGAGGCCATTTTCAGTGCATCCAGCTGTTGATGGTGAGGTAAACAGGCATCTGTCCTCACCAGTGCTCCTCCAGCTGCTGGTCGTCCCTCTCCGTCTCCTCCGTGTCCGTCATGGCGTCCCCGTCCTCCGCTTCGTCCAGCCGCTCCAGTGTGAGGACGAGCGATGGCGGCGGCGGCGGCAATGTTGGGACGTGTTTGGACACGATGGGCAGAGTGGACGAGATGGGCTTGGAGCTCAGCGCCGGCGACAGCACCGTGTCGGGGGGGGAGGTGACCCGGGCCGACGTCCCGCCGGGGAGACCGTTGGGTACCGTCTCAAAGTAAGCCACCACTTCCTGCGAGATGTCTTCGCCTGCGAAGGACGCGAGGTCCGGATCGGGCACCGCCTCGTTGAGGACCAGCACGCCGCCCTGGCTTAAGATGGCAGCCGTGATTCCGTTCACCAGCTCCACCTGGCCGTCCTCTGCGGCGCCTTCTGACATCATCAGCAGCTCCGCGGCGCCTGCATCGCTCATCAGGCCGTCTGCTGTCTGGTAGAGGGTCAGTGGAAAGTTCAAACCCGAAGCGACTCCATCGGCCTGGTCCACTCCTGTCTGCAGAGAACCCGCGCTCGCCTCCATCGGACCGGTTTCTCCATGCGGCGACGCGGCGGCGGCGAGCTCAAGCAGGCGGACCGTCTGGTCGGCCGTGGTCCCGTCCGCCGACACGGTGAAGCTTTGGGCTCTCAGGCGCTTCGGCTTCCTCTCGCTGTCGTCCGACGCTTTCCGTTTCTGAACGTGAAAAATAAACTCCGTCAGTTCAGTTTAACTTATTTGATTTTAGCAGAATAATCAAATATGCAGAAATTAGCACAAATAAACCAACTTAGCAACAATTCACAGGACAGAAAAAATTTTATTAAAAGGATAAAAAAAAACAAAAGAAAACATTTAATCAAGAAATAACAGAATGAAACAGGATAAAAACAGAATTCAAGGCCTGCTGTAAGCACTGGAAGAGATTGTTGCATTAAGGTGTACGCTCTTTAAGCTTTCGTTTAAACAAGTTATCATAAATCTACGGAATCTTCTGAGATAATGAGATTTCAGCTGCCTACAATGGAAAAAAATATCAAATCTTGAGTATTCTTGTCCAGTTCTAGAGGGAATATCTTGAAATAAAACAAAATTAAATTACCAGTAACTTTTCAGCAAGCTATAGGAGCTTGTTTTAAGTCAATAATTCCTGAACATTGTTGAATTATTTCACTTTTATCATGATAAAAATGTTTTTTATAAGTTTATCTGCCGATGGAACTAATTTTTTAAAATTAATATTAAGAAATTATTTACCTAAAACAAGCTTCTTTGTATTGCTAAGAACTCTATGCTTAATGGCTACAAACAGCTGCACAACTGTACAGCTGTGCAGCTTTGAAAAGCAGAAGTGGAGCCTCCTGCACAACCAACAAGAATCCAGCAAGTGGTTTCTGGATAGAAAGTAAACAACAAAACTCTTGGTGGGTAAAATCAGCTGGACAATAGTCCTGGTCTTCTAATAATAAAGTGGGCAGAGCTCCGCTTAGGTTGCTAGGTAACGAGGGGCGTGCCCACAGATTGTTGTCCAAACAGCAAACAACATCGACTTGTTTTTTTTTTTTTTCTTAGAAGCAGCAGAAACCCAAGTGGAAGAACGAAAACGTGAAAAAAGTGAATCTAATCTAAAAGGGTTTTATTTCCATTACCTCGGTATCCGGGAAGACCGTCGGCACGGCGTCGGCGTCGAGGTAGCGGATCCCCCAGCGCACCTTGAAGCACGACGGGGAGAAATGTTCGTGGCAGATGTACTGGTGTCGAGAAGGAGTCCAGTTCTCCCGGCCCATATTCCTCACCCACTGCTGCAGCCGGGCCGGGTCCTGGAGCGGGAACCTGGGGAAACACGACTCAGGTTTACAGCAAACCTCACAGTGGTTCATGGAAGCAGAAAGAATCAGAGTTCATTATGAGCCGAAACCAACAGAGTCATCAAGTTTTAGCTTCTGCTCTCGGTTTCTAAGCTGTGATTCGATCCGACTTCTTTCTCAGCTGCAGGTTGTTCTGCTGATTAAAACAACTTCTGCTGAAAACAGAAGTTAACAGAAGACTAACTGTGTTTTAATGACAGAAAGAGGAATATATGAAGCAGGCATGCATTATATTTAGCAAGGTTTTATGGATGAGCCTGTTGCAATAAGAAATCAATCAATAAAGCACATGATAATCATTAAAAAACAAACAAAAAATATTTTTTATCATTTGTGACTTTTTTTCTAGGGCCGAACAAAATCATTTCAAGTGCCACAAATGGCCCCCGGGCCTCACTTTGAACACCCTTGTTTGTCTTGAGATTTGATTCGATATTTTTACAAACCTAGTAAAATGAAGGAGCTTAAGTAGAGATAAAAATAAAATTTTTCACAATTAAATTTAAAAGCAAACATTTGCAATATTAAAACAACGACATGCTCTGTCATAATCGCTTCATAATCTCAGAATATCCTGGTTTTAATATTAGTTGTGGGAAAATGAAGCGCATTGTCTGACGTAGATCAGATAATTTTCTCAAGGCACAAGTTGTTTTTTCAGTTAAATCATTTCATAAGGACAGGGTTCATTTCTGTCCAGCGTCAGTTTGAGCACATTATACTCAACCATGTGGGTAAAAATCAGCTTCTTACGGTAAATAAAACGTAGACCAAAGCTGCACTTTTCTGTAAATACGAATGAAAACAGATTTACATTATTTTCTATGGGTTGCAGTCACTGCTTTGAGTTTGCAGTTGTATGATGACTCGCAGGTAAATGTCACGTGGTTGAACAAATATCTCACTGAAAATTAAAGAAAAACTTTTTGACATCAAAAATGCATAATCTGATTCTGTCGTAACAGAAAAGTCAACCAGTTTTGGATTAAATTATAAATAAATAATTAATGTAAACATTACTTTTAGATTAGTATCGCAGTGAAATCTTCACATGTAATATATTCCGGAAGAACTTCAAAATAAAGTCAATATTAATAATACTAGCGTCATTGATATGTAAAAATATAAACGTAGACAGCGTGTCTTCGCTGAATGCAAGTTTAGACGCCATCTCTACCAGCTAATTTGAATCAACCGTTTTCGAAGGTTAAAAACAAGAAAACAAACGACCCTTACTAACTTGTAAAAGCTCTTCCTCTCGCTGCTGTTCGCGGAGTCGCTCCTGCAGTTCGGAACCGAGCAGTACTTCGGCATTGCTCCGGGATTCTTCTCTTCTCCTACCCAGCCGGATTCATTACAAGGTGAAACCAAAGTCCTTCCCTTCCTGTAGTGATACGTCTGCTTTAACTCGTGTCGTGCGTGTTGTCAATTCACGGCGCTCGACTGACGAACGACGGATCAGCTGGTTTACAAAACGGGACACGTCAAATACCTGCGACCTGTCACGTTGCGAGACGCTCCGCTCGACTCTGATTGGTTACTTCGCGACCGATTACGTCACGAAGATTCGAAAATGTCGGTTCGTAAATAAGACGAAGCGGCGGTAGTTTACAGGATTTAAACCTTGATTGAATAAGCCGTTATCTGCTTTACAATTTAAAAAATTCAAAATTCTAAAAACAACAAACACTGTGAAGAGTCATTGTAACAGTAAAGCTTTTAAAATAAGCCTCTCGTTAAAAATGTTTTAATCTTGTCCAACAGAAACCAAATGAGAAAAAGGCTGAAACGCAAGTGTATTGGGACATTAGTTAGTTTGAGATATGGACAGATATAGATAGTAACTAGTTACAGTTACTTGATTAACTTTTTTGGGGGAAATTGCTTACTTTTCCTGAACCGTTTGTTTAAATGAGACCACTTGTTCATTCACAAGCTTTGATCTGATGTTATTTTCTAACTGCTTGCGCCACTTGAAAGTCAAAAGGACACACTAAAATATATTATCACTTCACCTTATGTTAGCTGACAGTATATTTGATTGGTAAAGTGATGTTTTGTAGATAAGATATTTAATGGAAGACTTAAATATCTAAGCCTTAAAGAAGCAGTATCGTGTATTTTCCAGGTCTGTAGTGCAGTTTTATAAAAATCAAGTAACCGTTACCTTCAGTTGTCATAAAAATGCCTTATACATCAAATACGACTTTTAAAAAAATTGACATTTTAATTTAACAGCTTGAAATTGGGCCTCTGTCTCTTTAAAAACTTTCTAAAACTCTGCCTTCAGGAAGTCATCACAACATGGCTCCTCTATTAACCCTTTAAAAACTTCTTTTTTTTTTACCAGCATTTCACAAAGTAGCTTCTAGAATGAGCTCAGCTGATATGCAGTTCCTCCAGGTGTCTGCTAATTGCTGCTGGCGAGTCTGAAGGAGCTGAAGGGGGAGGGGCTGTTTCTTGAAGGCGGAGCTTGGCCCACCAAGACGTTTTGCACAGCGATTAAAGGATTTCTCAAACATGCCTGACACACTATGTTTTTAACGAGGGAACAACATGGTAACGTGATTTAAAGCTCAATAAAGTTAATTTTACATGAAACTGCCCCTTTAATAAATCAAATCAGCAGTTGATTTGCAATTTGCAGGTCCTTTTGGTTGTTTTTTCCAAATATTTAAAGTCAAACAGTTTCATGTTAAGCTCATTGTGAATCTAAGGCCAGACTTTGATTATGTCTTGCTGTCAAAATGACACCAAGCCATCAGGAAACACAATGTGTGTAAATATCTTTGTTCATCCATCCACTGTACCTGGTTTTCCTTGTGGTGTTGCTGAACCTGCTCCACTCTGCAGCCCTACAAACATTTCAAAAACGGGAAACAAGAGCATTCTATAAACAAAGACACCAGTTTGTTTCAAAAATCACTGGACTGTCTTTTTTTAATTCAATAATTTTCTCCAAACATTACACAGAATCTTTAAATGATACAGTATATATACATACACTAAAGTGTATTCATTTATCTAAAAAGTTCAGGGCCGTTAGACAGTATAGCTGTGCGTTTCACGACAGGATTGTATTCTGGACGTTTTTGTGTAATGTAGAAATTCACACATGGGATAATAAGCCTGAATATGAATTGAAGACTAGAGTGCCATCAGTGTTTGCTAGCTAGCTAGTTGGATGAGCGGACTGTGCAGGAGCTGCCGAGTCGGTGGCACGACAACGATGAAGGATGAAAACATGGAGCGGCGGTACCTTCCCCAGCAGGAAGCAATGCAGAAGTGCAAAATAAACGGTACCAGCAAAATACATCACTAATGGCAAACAGCACCTTTAAAAGTGTACCCAGAGTGGTTTTTTTTTTTTAGATCACAAAGAGTTCAATTTTGTATTCTTGAAATAAAGTGGAACATACTGTAAGTTGGTTTGAGAAACACTGACACACATGCGGCTCCTTAAACCGTTTTACAAACTGCTTAACTGTGAATGCAGGCCAACGTTGCGATGCTAATATCCAGAGTCCTCTTGCTAAAACTGAACAATCATTTTCATTACGTATCTTTGGTACAAACCAGCTAATTCGAGCCATCTGCTGAGCGAATCAGGAGTTTTAAAAACCACACATCTTCACTACAGAAATGTTAAATCTTACCAAGTCTCTTCCATCTGCAAATATCTTCGTACGCTAGCAATAAGAAAACTAATTTACAAGTAACTTTTGAGCAACATGCAGGAGCTTGTTTTAGGAAAATAATTCCTTTAGATCAATGAAAAATACTGGCTCCACTTTTAGATTAATTTACTTCTAACAAGATATTTTTACTGTGATAAAAGTGAAATAATCTGCTGTGGAATTAGTATTATTAATCTAAATTAAGGAATTATTTACTTAAAACACGCTACTATATCTTACTAAAAAGTTAATTTTGTAAGTTAGTTTAATCTTATTTCAAAAGAAATAAGATATTTTCACTAGAAACTAGACAAAAGTACTTGGTAATATCTGGTGTTTTTGCAGTGTTGGTTTCGTAACTCAGTAATGGCACGCATGAAGCAGGCAAATGGACAACGGAAATTCTCCAGGAAAAAAAAACAACGTGAAGGAATAAAAAGGAAATCTGGACTGGGCTCGTCTAAGGTCGCTCTCTTCCCATCAGAACTACGCCTCGGTTTCTGCACAACAACTAGCTGACGTTTGTGTGGGAGAGAGACCCCTTGTACTAAGCAGGAACGACGACATGACCGAGCCCCGGAGCGGCTGAGCTGGGAGGGAAGGGAGCGACGGCAGGTCATCGCCGCGCGCGCGAAGCCTCTACATCATCCCCAGCTGCATTAGCGTGTTGGCGTACACCATCGGCTTGACATTCGGATGAGGCTGTGGAAGCAGAGAATCAGAAAGATAAATCCTGGGGAAAGTTCTGACAACAAGAAGAATTGATGGTTGTATTGTAGAAAACATAAAAATCAGAGAATATACTGACCACAGCAGTGAACTGGTGAAAGTCAGGTTTGAGGTCTGATCCCCTGAGGTGGATGTATGCTCCTTTGTTTCCCATCTGATCACTGTTGGACAGCAGCGAAACAGAAGCAAGCAGCAGTGTTTATTCCAGGGTTGGCCAAACTTTTTGTCACATCTCAAGTCAAAACAGACAAAAAGTGTTTTTCCCCTAAATCAAAGGTTTTTCCAAACAGAAGACTAGACTCTGCATGTCCAGTATGAAAGGCCAAATGTTCCACAACGTACCAGTAGTTGGGTGCTGAGAACACGGTGATGCACTTCCCTGAGTGAGTGACCTCGTACCCCTCAGCTTTGACCTCATGACTTCGCACGATGTAGTCCAACTTGTTCTGTTCCAGGAAGTGCTGCGTCACATCGGGACCAAACTGACAGCTCACGCCTCGCTTGCTGATCGACCGGCCGTTCTGCTCCAGACACAAAATAATAACTCAATAACAGGAGAGAAGGGAGACTCCATGTTGATGACGGAGACAAACTCACCTGAGGCTGTGGATCGGACCACAGGAGGTCGCACATCGGCCCTGGTGAAAGGAGAGCAGAAGGTGTGATAATTATGACAGCGTGTTGGGCAGCCGTAGACAGAAAAGAAGACAAAAAGGAGGAGTTCATTTCTGCCAGAGAATTTTGAGATTGATCTCAGAAATTTTCTAGAAACAATCTCGGACATTTCTGAGTTTGAACAATCAAAAATTTGGGAGAAAAAGCTCAAAAATGTTTAGATTAATCTCAAAAATGACTACATTTCAAAAGTCAAAAATTTGCAAGAAGAAACACATTTTTAGATTCATCACAGAAATTTTCTCGAAAAAATTTGGAAGTTTCTGAGTTTGAGAAGTAGAAAATATGCAAGAAAAAACTGTGAATTTTGTACTCCTTTTCTGCTCCATCTACAATGGCTGTGATACGCCGTCGTAAAGGTTAAAGGTAATTTTATTCATATAGCACATTTTAACCACAAGGGAAATACAAAGTGCTTGTAGAAAACTTTCTGAGATGTTTTAGACGTTTCATAACGAATGCTGGAGTTTGGCCGTACCCGAGTCCGGCGGCTGTCTGTTCCTATCAATCTTCCTCAGATCCTCCAATGTGACACCGTCTTCGCTGAAAAGTCCTCCATGCATGACCTGAGAGCAACATTATCAAAACATTAGCAGTTATTGGTTTTTTTTATTAATATATTGGGATCTAAAAGCTGAAGATGTCTTCATATGAACACTGTTTAAAATGGATTCTTTTAAACTACTGTTAAAATCCTGAATTAATTTCAAAACAGGAGATTGATTTAAAATTAAGCTGTTTCACTGAATATTTAAAATTAAATCATACATTATAATCTAAATTAGAGGCGCACCAATTGCAGTTTTCTTGCTGTTTTTATGCAGCCTGTTCGGTCCAAACAGGATGCCCCGTTTGGACAGAAGGGGGCAGTAGAGAGTAGTTATTATCAATTGTTTGCAAGTAGTGGCTCCTGTATTCAATTCAGTTAATTTATATTGCATTAATTTAGAAAAAAATATATAATTTCAATTCGGTCTTAAATACAATCCAACTGATGCTAATTATCAAACATAAGCATTAAGTTTATTATTTAAAAAATTTTATTCCAACCCTGGGAGATTTAAAAGCAAAGTGTCAGAGTTATTTTAAAGTTATTTTCACATCAAAGCCTCCAGTATCTGTTTTTAAACACCTGTAATATTTTGGTTTTATCACCAGATAACAGCTAAAGGATGAGAAATGCAACAAATGATTATAAGTTAGATTTAATTTCTGTTACTGACTGAGAAATGTATCTGGTTTGGTGACGTACGGCAAACTTTGATAACATCCCTGCAAAAACACAAAATCTTATCAAGTATTTTCGATCTAATTGCTAGTACAAATATCTTATTTCAGTTGAAATAAGAGAAAACTAACTAACAAGCAACCTTTAAGAAAGTTATAGGAGCTTGTTTAAAGTAAATAATTCCTTTATATTGGTGAAAAAGTTCTAGTTCCAGTGGCAGATTATTTTAATTATAACAAGACATTTTCCCATGTTATATGTGAAATAATCTGCCAATGAAATGGGTTGCTAGGTTACGGGCTAGGCTTGGCTGGGGTTGCTAGGTAACAGCACAGCAGAATATCCTACCAGTGGAACTAGAAACTAGACCAAAATACTTGGTAACATTTTGTGTTTTTTCTTTTCTTTTGTTTTTTTTTTGTAGTGAGAAAACTTTTCTAAAATGAATAAGAAAGAACTTAATGCCAAAAAACCTCAGACGCACTTAATTAAAATAAAAAATAAGCCTAAATCAAACTGAATAATAATAATAATCCAGTGAAACTGAAACATTTATGACTTCCTACCAGTACTTTGTTGTTGATGCACTGAGCAAGAGGAAGCCACTGGAAGACCTCACTGAACAGCTGGAACATCTGGGCTGTGTATTTGGCTTTGACCTCGCCTTCAAACCCGTACATCTGGTTCATGTTGTCCGTCTCGTGGTTCCCTGCAGGTACACACATCAGTTTATTTCCTGTTTTCGCCTTAAACCAGCCTTTCTCAAACTGTGGGAACCCTGCCCCCCCTAGTGGTCCGGAGGGTACTGCATGTAAACGACCGTTTATTTGCCGAGACGTGAGGTCAAAGTGCGACGCTACAGTTAGCTTAGCTAAAAAGAATAATGGATACGTGGCTTAAAACCGGGTGACTCTAAAGAAAAACTGAACATACCAGAGGAAAGAAAACAACGTCCGGACTATTTATATCAGAGGAAGCCGAGTCAGACCTACTGAGAGGATTGAGTCGTTCGCAAGCGACTCGATTCTTTTCAACGGCTCTATGTCGTGAACGGTTCCAGTCTCAGCTGGTAAGAACTGTTCTTTGCTTGCTTGTAATGCTCTGCTCACACTTCAAAGGCTATTGTTATTTTTACTAACTAAAATGCTTAAATTAAATGAATTAAATACGATACATAAATACAATTGATTCAAATGGATGGAATATTTTATATTTAATAGTACAGAAGAGTATTTTTTTGTTTCTGGCAGAGCAACTCAATTATATTTTTCTTCTACTGTGCTTCTAAATTACAAATAGCCCTAAAATGTTAACTTTCAGAATCTGTAAATAACTCAAAATGACCCAAATGAACGTGTTCATTCCTTTGCCAGTCAGAGCACTGATTAACAAAGAAAACAACAACAACAAGCAAATTAAGAGACTAAGATTTTCATTTCAGGTTGTACATATTAACATGCTGTTATTGCAATTTCAAGTTAGGTGGTCTGTGAGTGTTTGCTAAATGGGTTAAGTGGTTCTTAGCCTGAAAAGGTTTGAGAAACACTGCCTTAAACACTTGAATATTGGACGCAGCCATTAAAGCGGTGGAGTTGTTATTACAGCTGCTGTCACCTCGGAGCAAGTGGAAGTGGTCTGGGTAGAGCAGCTTGAAGCCAAACAGGGTGAGAATGACCTCAACAGAGAAGGAGCCTCGGTCCACAAAGTCGCCATTGAAGAGCTGGAAGCTGTGGTTAAGGTCAGTGACGCACAACTTCTGAGGCTCCTGACGCATTTTCGACCAAAATAGATCAAACCAGGAAAAACCACTGTATGAATAGAAAACATGATCCGTTTGTGTTTTTTTTTAAAGGAAAGGATACGTAAGGGTTGGTCTCTGAGGGTAAACCGTTCAACTCAAAGATGTTGAGGAGGTCGTAGTACTGACCGTGGGTGTCCCCACAAATAGTTAGTTTGTCTGTCTGTTGGTGGAAAAGCAAAATATTATGTAGACGCCAAATAACACAAGAGGATTAGGGTCACTACCAAAAAAGAAGTCTGACTTTTTCTCAGAATTATGCCTTCAATCTCAGAACTGTTACTTTCTTCTCAGAATTGTGACTTCAAACCTAGAATTCTCACTTATTCTGAGATTAAAATCAGAATTTTTTGGGGAAAAAGTCTAAATTCTGATAAGAAAATGTTCAAATTCTGAGATTCAAATCAGAATTACGTGAGTAAACTCAAGATTATTAGATTAATGTCAGAACTATAGGATTAAAGCTACAATTCTGAGTTTAAAGTCAGAAATCTGAGGTTAAAGCCCAAATTCTGAGATTAAAGTGAATTATTTTTCCATGGTCCTAATCCTCTATATTCCCTGCGAAGTTAAATCAGCCTAATCTTACCTCTTTTATTGTGATTTCAACCAGACTTGGTAGCTTTGACAGAACGTCCTTTACTTGTACTAAAATCTGTAGGAATACAGTGAAGGTGAGTGGGACGAGTTAAATCCAGGCTGAAGCTGTTTGGTTATCAGTGAACGAGTGCGTTTACCTGATAAGCACATTTTCTATGCAGCTTCTTCTGGTCTTTGAACCAATCCATCATGTCTTTCATGAACTGCAGCGTCACCTTCCCATCTTCAAGTTTGGGCCCTACGTAGTCGTCCTCGATGGCTGCAGGAGTAAAATCAGCTTTGACTGACTTGTTCATCATTTTAAATGTTGAATCCATTTCACATTTTGGGACAGAAAACTTACTCATGCTTTCTATGTCCAGAGAGTCGACGACTGATTTCTTTTTGTCATCACTCGCGATGGCTCTCTCGAACGCCTTCTGCTTCACAATCTTGTTGCATTCTTGGTACTTCATTCTTGCATCCTTGTCATTCGGTCGAACCCGGACTACCTGTCATTAAAACAAAGAAATTATATAAAATATTTATCATTTTCTATAATTAACTTGCTTTAGGTTGGCTGTTGTTTTCATATGCAATTCCATTCAATTCTCATCTCTCCTCAGAGCGCTGTCTTGGATTTCTCCCATTGACCTCGATTTCAGTTACAGTTAATTTAAAGGAACTCTGTGTTTTGGCTTTTTTTGCAGTTTTCTGGAAGTTCAATCAATCAGTTAATCAAGTTTATTTCAGGAACAAAGCAGTTTTAAATGCTTCACATCATAAAAACACAAGAATAATAAATCATAACAACAAAACATTCAACAATTGTGACAAATATTACATTTTGACGAGTGCCATCATCAAAATCACCACACACATTGAACACGTCTATTATGGTTCAAAAGCAACTATAACCAGCTGGGTTTTTAGTCTAAATTTAAAGACATTTTGTGTTTCAGCTGTTTTGCAGTTTTCTGGGAGTTTGTTACAGATTTGTGGTGCATAGAAGCTGAATGCTGCTTCTCCATGTTTGGTTCTGGGGATGCAGACCAGACCAGAATTAGAGGACAGGAGAGGTCCAGACGGTTGATACAACAACAGCAGACCTTTAATGTATTGTGATGCTAACCCGTTCAGTTATTTATTAACTAACAACAGTATTTTAAAGTCTATTCTCTGAGCTGCAGGGAGCCAGTGTAAGGACTTCAGAACTGGGTGATGTGCTCCATCTATTGCAGTAATCAATCCACCTAAAGATAAACACACAGATGAGTTTTTCTAAATCTTGCTCCTTTAATCCTAAAAATCTTCTTCAGGTGACAGAAGACTGACTTTGTAACTATCTCTATGTGTCTCTGAATGTTCAGGTCTGAGTCTAGTTGTAATAACTGAAGCTGTGCATTGGCGTTCATGATCGTCAACCATAAACTCATGAAGCACACCAACAAGCCCAGCTCTGAGGGTCTCAAAGGTATAGAGCTTTGGGAGATAACGCTTACTGATATTTGAGAATGTCCTTGTGTTATTATGTTACATAATTGAAAATGGTCTCAAAACAATATTATCGTTTATCGCGATAACTTCTGGGACAATCTTTTATTGTGTACAGCCCAAACATGAAGATAATGTTTAGTTTCTTACCGTTTCATAGTCCTTAAGTGCAGCCTTGAATTTGCCCAGCGCCATGTTGGAGGTGGCGCGGCGGTAATATCCCTTTATGTAGTTCTTGTCTACCTCCAGGGCCTTCGTAGCGTCTGCCAGGGCATAGCCATAGCACTCCGTACGCAGGTACGCCAAGCTACGGTTGCTGTAGTAGATGGCATTGGATGGATTGAGCTCCAGGGCCTCCGAGTAGTACTTGATAGCATTTTCATAGTCTTTTTCTGGAAAAACAGGAATCATAATGTTGGTTAGATAAACAATGAGAGAAAAAATGTAGTTCATGGTAAACACAGGGCACCAATATTAGTTTCAAAACATCAAAACTGAATGAAATTGTGATGGGATCTCTTAAAAGTCTGATGTAAATGTAGTAGTGGGTTGTTTTCAAGGAATATAACAAATATGTCATCAATGCAATATCAGTGTGTGTCATATTCAAACAACAAAGGATTGTTTGCAATGCAATAATTGTAGAGTTGGGTTAGTAACTAGCTACATTTACTCAGTTGCATTTACTTGAATAACTTTTTTTTTTTTTTTAAAGTACTTTTAGGAGTATTTTTACTACGCTGCACTTTTTACTTTTACTTGAGTAAAACTTCTGGATTCTCTACCCACTGAACAGCGTTTTTACGTGTTTGTCAGGGTGATCTTTTGAGTTAAAGTCACTCTGGAGGTTGACTAAGTGAAAAACAGAAACACTCGAGCTGGTGATCAGGAATTATAATCAGTCCAAAGTCCATTGAAAGACTTTAAACATGAAGAGTTACTGCTCAAAATCACGATATGCACTGGTAGAAAGCAGCAGAGATTTTTTTTACCCAAGTAAAAAGTATCCCTCTAATAAAATGCTCAAGTATTTTGTAAAAAAAAAAAAAAAAAAAAAGGGACTCTTAAGTAGGTCATGTGCAATGTTCTTTTCCAAATGAAATAATTTTTCTGTTGCATAACACTTATGAAACCATATTCTCTAGTAGATTTTATGTGTGTGTTAGAACAGGATAAAGTACTTTCAAATGGCTGAGCAGATAGAAAATAGCACAAACTTTAATATTAATTGTAGGCTTTTGTCTGGTTCAAACATATTTGTTTTTCATTCAGAGAAGTTACTCAGTGGGTAAAGTGTTTAGAAATTTCACTAAAGTAAGAGTAGCAATACAATGTTACTGAAGTAAAAGTAAAACGTACATAGTAGTAAACCTACTCATGTTAGTATTTTTTACTCAGGTAAATGCCACTAATTATTACCCAGCTATGTTTTTAAGTAAAGTTGCAGAAAAGTGTCAGCAGTTCAAGGATTCAGTGTAGGACTTTGATTTGTTTTGTTAGTCAAAGAAGCCACTTTATAAGCAAGTTAAAGCGCAAAAACCAACTCTGATAATCAGGAAATCAGAAATCTGTGACTTAGAAGCAGTATACAAACTGACATTTTTCTACTACTGTGTAATAATGACAAGTCAGCCCAATTAAAGCTTACATTGTAAGAAAATGACAATGCTTCATTGACAACAGAGTACTGGCAAGAAGTTAGGAAGGCTCGACAATCCCCCGCTTTATAAACACGCGATGGCTACCAGAACATTCTAGCAGTTTTTCCTTTTTGTCTCCCTCTAAACGCAACTAAACCCCGCAACACTGCCTCTATTCACGCATCTGCTCTCAACCCCAAGTCCGAGGTGAGCATCACTTCCCTTCAGGTTCTAAATCTAACCCGGTTGCAGCGTGTTTCACCAGAACACGCTGACAGCTACGGAGCTAACGGCTAACCGCTGTTCGAATGAATGGAGTTTAAAGTGAGCGTTAGCTTTGCGTAACATCTGAACCCGGCTGCGATTGAGGGAAAATGACGTAAAATTAGAGCAGAAAAATAAATGATTGTGACGTGGTAGTCGGTAGGAATCTCCTGTAATAAATCCCAGACTTGACAGGTCCTGCGATTTACCTTTGAAGAACTTATTTGCCTTCTCCTTGAGTAGCTCTGCTTCATTTGTTACCTCCGCCATCTTCTTCTCACTGCCGTATTCCGATGGTCGCAAAGGTCGTAAACGAAGGCGTTTGTTTCTATTTTGTTTTCCCCCATGTGATCTAAACTTTCTCAACTGTAAAAACGAAAGCTATAAAATGTGGGCAAGACACTTTTATTAATACAAACGTGTATATGGGAAAAGTTTTAAAATATTGTTTGCAGTTGTTTGCTTGTGTAAGCCTGTATCTTTTTACGTTACATTTTTAAGACATTTTCTGTTTATTCATACAAAGTCCCAATTCAAGTAGAAAAACAAATGTGTTGAGTTCAATTTACTGATATGTCAATCATTTTCCATTTGAAAAAAACTTTTTCAACCACCAGGGGTCAGTATACACCCCACTATAAAGGCGTCAGGTGATTATTTATAGCCCAACAATGTCCCTGGAAATACCCGTGTAATCAAGCAGTTTAAGCTTTTAGTCATCCTTATAATGTAAGCTGCATTCATGGGAAGTTACGAGGAAAAGATTAAGGCGATGACACATACTATTAAGTGTTTGAACGTGTTACGTGTTCATCATTAGAAGCCGATTATGAGGTAGAGTGAATTATGAACAGGCATGTCTGGAATTACACCCCTGATTTTCTCCAACTATATTCTAGAATAGGGGTGTCCAAACTTTCCAAAATTGACAAGTATTAGCAGGCCAAGAAAATAAAACTAAAA